TAACAAATATCATATAGGTTTTATTACACCCCCAACATGGCCCAACCTCAGAAGAAAAAAGGAAAAAAAATGCCCCAGCTGGGTCTACTCGCCTGCTCCAGCAGCGCAGGCAGCACCCAAAAAGGGACATGGGGCTGGGTGCTCGTGGTGGGGGTGGGGGTGTTTATAGGGCACAGCGGGGTCCCAGCAGCAGCAAATGGGACAGTGGGTGGGAGAGGGGCTGAGCTGGGGGACACACAGACACACACACATGCACGCAGCAAAGGGCTCAGCCCCAGCTGGGCCAAATCCTGCAAATGCGTTGTTAAGCCCATCAATGCCTGACCCCCCCGTCCTGGGGTGCAGGATGGTCCTTTGCTGGCTCTGCTCTAGTGCCCACCAGTTTGCTCTGAGTGCTCCCAGTCATCCCGCTGGAGGTGGCACGGAGGGAATCCCAGATCCTGATGGAACCACCTGGGCACCCAAAGCAGGTATTTAGCACCTAGTTTTCCCCTGAAAAACCAAACCCACCAGGGGAAACATCCCCGGCTGGGGGCGGGGCTCAGGTGCCTGGAGCCTGCAGTGAGGTGGGCAGGGATGGGGTCTGCCATTGTTGGGGGGAGCTTTGGGTGCTTCCTCGCCTGAATTTAGGGAGAGGTAGGGGAGCAGTTTTTCCACAGAGCAGCCCCCAGCACACACCATGGCGGGGTGAGGGGATGCTCCCCAGGTGCCTGGGTCCCCCCAGGCTGACTCTGGGGTTCCCCTCAGGGTTTCCCACCCTCCCACTCACCCGAGCGGTGCCACCCGCTTGGTGTCTGTCCCCCCCCCCTCCATGTCACTGCGTGTGTGCCCGGGGGAGTTGGGGCTGTCCCCGGCACTTTACACTTTGTGCTGTGACACCCCCAGGTCCCCCCACCATGTTGCTTCCAGGGACTGCAGTTTCCCTGCCCGGTACCTCTCCATCTGTGACATGACTTATGCCAGGTCTCAGCATGCCATGGGCCTTTCTCCCATCTGATGGCGAGGGGTGGCAGAAAGGGGCTGGGGAAAAGTAGCCCCAAGCAATAGGGGTGGCATGAGAGAAAGGAGGGGATGTGTGTCCCCATGGCTGGTGGGGTTATGGTGCTTCACTCCGGAGGTGGGAATCATCAGCTGCCCCGAGCCCGGCAGCAGTGGGGTCAGTGCCTTCCTCTTTCCATCAATGGCAGCAGTGGAAGGGGACAAGGGGGTGACAATCCATGAGCAGATAAGGAATCCTGCTCAGTGATGCTCATCCCGCAGGATAAGCAATAGCAAACCAGCGGGCTTGGGGTGGGATTGGCTTTTGGCATGAAGCCATGTCCTGCTGCCACCCTTCCCACTGCGGTCCCCATCTCCAACCACAGTCCCCACATCTCCCACCACCTTCAGCAGCAATGGAGCGTAATCCTCCTCCTGCTTTAGTGTGGGCTCCCCCAGACCCTTTTGGGGGCCACGAGCTCCGTGCCAGGGGCCATCAGAGCCAAAAAGGGGGTCATGGAGGCCAGGGGATGTCAGGGGGAGTGTGGCAGCACAGGGCTGGCACAGACACCGGGATGGGGGTTGGACAGGGGCTGGTTTCAGCTCCTCTGGCCTCCTGTGGCTGCAGGACAAGGGATGCTGCGACCCCTCCTTATGCATGATGGGAAGATCCCGGCCCAGGGCCACCCCACTCAGGCCACACAGGTGCTTGTCTGCCCATAGCCCTTTATTGATGCTGGCCAGAGATGCTTCCTCGCCTGTTTGGTGGACGATGTGGTGGGGGTTCAGTCGGGGCCCCCCAGTCCTGCCTGGCTTCCGGGGTGCTGGATCTGTCCAAGGGCGGGAGGAGCTCCCATTCCTGGGCGGAGTGGCCGTGGGATGAGGCTGGGCTGGTCTCTGGTGAGGTGGAGGTGCCTGGGGGTGAGGGGTAGGGGTTAGCCCCCCTGCAGCCCCTGGGGCAGGCACCACCCGTGCGCACCTGCCCGGCCAGAGACACCCAGAAACAGGGTCGTGGTCCCCACCCTGGAGCTAACAGGCTGTTGTCCCAGAGCGGCCAGGACCACCCTGCCACATCCCCCATCTTGCTCTAGCTCCAACATGGGGATCAGGTGACCCATCTCCCTGTCCTCCCCCCCTCCATCCTCCTTCCACCCCACCCGAATCCCCCATCCCACCCTGCTTTCCCCCACCCACTGGGACACAGCAGGGTGTCCTCTCCCCTCACCCCGGTGCCCTGGCAGGGCTGTACCTGGCTGGCTAAGTGAGGACCCAGCACTCTGGGCCCGGGAGAGCAGGCGGCCGGTGTCCCTGGTGTCCCACTGCCTCGGGGACAGCTTGGGCTTGGCCCTGGGGACGTTTGGCAGGAGGGAGCAGAGGGAGCTGGGCTGAGGGGAGCCAGGGGGAACATGTGTGGAGAGAAAACTGGGCACCCTGCCCACTCCACTGCCCCCTTCACTCCTGCCGGATCGTCTCCTGAAGCATGGCCCAGCCGTTCCCTCCTTGCCCACGAGCACAGGCAGCTGCTCGCCCCGCTGGCCCCTGTAGATGTGGCCATCCTGGCCCAACAGCTCTATCTCGTCGTGCTGGGAAGGAGAGAGGGGGCTGGCTGAAACAGCACCCAAATCAGCGTCCCCAGGCAAACGCCCCCCAGCTCTCCCTGAGGAAAATGAATCACAGAACATACCCCGCCCCCCGCCCCCCTCCCCGATGCTCAGCATCACCCTCCCAGCCTCACTCGCCCCGCTGTATCCCTACCTTCGCCATCCTTACCTTGATGGGCGGCAGGGTTTGGGGCTGGAGTGGCCGCAGGGCGCCGGGCAGGAGGGGCTGGGGGCACGGGCAGCGCTGCAGCGGGTGGGTGAGGGTGTGCCGGCCCCCGCAGCGCCGTGGCACGCTGGGGTACCCACGCTCAGCCGCCCGCTCCCTGTGGGATGGAGCACAGGGATGCTGAGGGCCCAGCACTGTGGCACCCCGTGCATCACCCTACTACACCAGGGAGGGGGCCGCGGGTGCTCCCCAGTGGGGTATGTCCCTCCCGCGTCCCCTCCGACTGCTGAAGGAGACCCACACCCATCCAGCCATGCTGGATCTGCTCTTTCCCCATGGCCCTGGTAAGCTGGTCATGGCCATGGCAGGTCCCTGCACCCTACGCAAGGGACATCAGGAGGCAGGAGCTGGGCTGTCCCAGCTGCAGTGCTTAATTTCGGTGACTTGTTTCACAGGAGGCAGCTGACTCCCCAACCAAGCCTGAAGTCAGGCTGAGACCAGACACAACTCATCACATGTGGCTTCAGCACCACTGACACACAGACCTGGGCTAGACAGGGCAGCGCAGGAAGGGCTGTAAAACCCCACAGACCTGGGACAAGCACAGCTGACCCCTCTGCAGCACTCCCCTGCCCTGCCCAGGCCCCCCCTGCATCCCTTCACACCCACCCTGGGAAGAGCTCTCCCTCGCCAGGGCAGGGCCAACCTGCACCCCAGGGGCCGGGTCCCCATGTCCCCTACCTGTGGCTGTGCTGCGGTGTTTCCTCCACATCAAGGGCAGTATGGGAGCGCCCGGCAAGGTTGGGGTGCAGCGGTGGCATGGACGGGATGGCCACGATGTGCCTGGGGAGGGCAGGAGCCATGGGTGAGTGACAGTGGACACACAACCCAGCCCAGCTCGGGGCAGTGCCCCAAAACCCACAGGCTTGTACCCCATTTGCACCCACTGCCCTCAGGGAGGGACTCAGGAGGGCTGCACCCCCCAGGCAGACACCCTAACCCCTGTGCCGGGCACAGCGGGGCACCACCACCCCCCATCTCTCCTCCAAATCGCCGGGCGCTACTCACGGGCCAGGCACCAGCATGCTGAGGGGCCGGTCGCAGGACATGCAGTGGAAATGGGCCAGCACCTGCCTGGGGAGGGGCAAGAAAAGGGCTGGGTGAGCTCCTGGGGGGGGATTCAGCCCTGCCTGCACACAGGCAGGCAGCTGCCAGGCAGCAGCAAGGTGCTGGGCACTTTATTGTAATGAGTTATGGTATTTGAGGGTGGAACCGCAGGGGTTTGAGCCTGGTTTACTCCCCCCCCCTGCCCCCAACAAGCTCACAACCCACCGGCTGGCTACAAAATCAAGGGGGTACGATGTGGGACAGCAGTTGGTTGTGGGCTCCTGCTTGGGAAAAATCTCCACCTCATCTTAGGCACTGGAGAATCCACTGAGGGGAGCACCCAAAAAACACCATTATGGGAACTACTCCCACGGGCACCCACATGGGAACTGGGGGTGCCAGCAAGGACAAAATGGGGGTGTTGCTGTACCTCCTGCTGGCGTGCAAATGCCAGGCCTGGGGGATGCAGGATTACCCCATTTTTCAGGATGAGTTTTGTCACAGCTGCCCCGAGGACAGGGACACACTCGCCTCGGCCCTGTGGCCCCCTCCAAAACCTGGCAGCTGCCTGTGGCTGCCCAGGGCGAGCAGGGATGGGAGGTGCAGGGCGCAGGCGCCCATAGCTGCCATCCCAACCAGCCCTCACACTGGTTTCATCACTTTGTCGCTGCTAATTGCCCCCCTGCACCTTGCCAGTGGGGCAGGTCAAAACGCAGCTCTGTGATGCCGCGTGTCACACCCCTGCCCAGGGGGACGAGTCGCCGTCCCTCACCCTTGCTCCAGAAAACCTTTGCACCCACATCCCAGTTTTGGTTCGGGAGGGCTCCATCCTGCAGGTCCCCCTCCTCGTGCCCTCTTTAACATCAGGAACCTACTACTGGTGGGAGGAGAAGCCTCCGCCACCTCCATCACACTCACTTCTTCATCCCAGCTGCATCGTCAGCCTCCGTCAGCGGCGCCTTCTCCTTGAGCTGCTCCAGGATGGTCCTGCAGTGCTCCTCCAGCTGCTGCCGGAAAGGGCCCAGCTCCAGGCGGTCCAGCTATGCACAGACACACACCCTCAGCCACTGCCCCGGGGTGGGACATCGTGTTCCCCATGAAAAGCCAGGAGGGGGGATCCTCAGAGGGATGCTGCCTTAGGCTGCCAAGCCCCAAAGGCGCCAGTTTTGCGCAGCAGGGACGTGCCACCCCTCACCTTGGAGTCCATCTCTTCCCTGAGCTGCTGCTGGGCCTGGTGCAAGCCCTGCTCCTGCCCCGTCACCCGGCTCAGCATCTCCTGGATCATCTCATGCAGCCGCTCCACACTTGCGTCAAACTGGGCGCGACTCACTTGGCCGGCCAGGGCGCTTTTGTCTGCTTTCTAGCAGCAGGGAAAAGCAGGAGAGAGGTGAGGAAAGGATGGAGGTATGATGGGCAGGGCCAACTCGTGCCGGGAGGAGAGGGGGAAGTGGCTACATGGCCCCACTCGCCCCATCACACCCGTGGGGTTGGTCACAGTAGCTGTAGGGACCCGGGGGGAGACAGAGGGACCTGGGGAAGGAGCCACAGCCAGTCTGGAAAATCCTCCCTCTCCCAGGCCAGTTCTGCCACCGAGCCCCCAAGGGACAAGGCGTGTTTGCCACCCTGCCCAGCACCCCCTTGGCTGGTGCCAGGACCCCCCCAAGGCCATACCATATCAATTCCCAGCACAAGGTCTTCCTTGTCTGCTTTCTCCTTCTCCAGCCTCTCCAGGGACCGGAACAGAGCCTTCCAACACAGAAAAGCATCCCATGACACCACGGCAGGGTTGGAGCTGCCTCCTGGCCAGCCGAGCAACCCCCGCTCCCCCCACCTCACCCCAACTTCCAGGAAAGGTACACTGAACTTCCACAGGGCTGCAAGGTTTGGCGGGGTGCAGACAAATCCCTTGTGGTTCCCAGCCTGGCGTCTGCCTGGAGGATGCTCTGACCCCAGAGTTTCTGTCACCTACCTCGATATCTTTCTGCTTCTGGTGATGGTCATTCAGGAGGTTCCCGGTGACAGAGCTGAGCTTCTCGTACTCCCCTTGCACCTGCGTGATGGTGGCCTGGATGTGCTTCAGCAGCTCCGCGTCCTGCTTCAGGGAGGAAGATGACAAGGTGGTGCCGTGCAAGGGGGGGCTGGCTGCCCCCGTGGGGACAGACCCAGGTTACTTGCCCGGTGACCATGGGCTCAGTGCCAGCAGGACATTTAATTTCCTTCCACGCTGCTCACTTGTATGAACCAATCTGGGGGGCAGTGAGGGGCTTCCCCACATTACAGTGAGGCACAACCAGCTGTGGGGGTGCTGGCAACCCCCTCCCAAGCCCCCCATGCTGGTATCTCCCTACCTGGCTCTTCCTTGGCAGATGCCTCACCACCTTGCCCACCGCCTGCCGTGACATGCAATCGTCCATCTGCTCCTGGAGCTGCTCGTAGCGCTGGAGGAGCTGCCCCACCTGCTTGCTGATGTCTGTGCTGCAGACGGGGCACGCTGCCTGCACCTCTGCCTGCTCCTGCCCTGTGCTTGACACCGTCGCCCTCCGCTCACCCAGCTGCAGGAAGGGGAGAAGGAATCAGCTCTGAGATGAGGTGGATGCAGTCAACAAGTCTGGGTGCTGTGGAGGCTTGATGGCCCCAGCCAGCCAAGGGATGTGGCTGGGAACCCCTCCAGAACCACCCACCGAGCTGCAGCGGTGGGAGCGCTGCCCCCAGACCTCACCTGCTCCTGCAGCTTGTCAGCTGGCTTGGCCACCAACTGCTCCAGCGTGGCCTTGATCATCTCCTGCTGTTCTTCCAGCTCCTTCAGCTTACACTTCATCTCCTGCAGTGTGGACCTGGTCAGTGAGACAGAGGCACAGGCAGGCTTAGCCTCCACAGGGACACTCAGGGGGTGTCCCTTGTCCCCCCAGGCTTCTCCTGCAGGGTAGGAAACCCCTTCCCATCCTTTTACCCCAGTTGCAGGCTGATCTGGTCGCTGACATCCCCTTTCCAGGTGGCTACAGCTACCTCCAGCTTTCCAAGGGCATCTTCCAGCTGCCTGATCTGGGAAAGGCAGTGGTGGATGAGTCAGGGCACAGCTCCTTGTGTTGTCCCAGCCCAGGGGCCCTTCAGCTGCCTCCTCCCTGCCCAACTCCCCCACTGGCAACCCCGCAGCCCCCAGGGACTCACCTTCCCATTCTCACCCTGCAGGTCGCTGGTCAGGCCCTGAAGCGAGGACACCCGGCCCTGGAGGTCGGTCAGGATGCTTGCAATGCTCTCCTTGCCTAGATGTGGTCCAAGGGGAGACGCTGTCAGTGAGGAGGTCTCACCTTTGAGGCCAGGCTCTGAGTACAAGGAGCCTCCAGCCCAGGGTGTGCCCATGCCTATCCCACCCCACCCACACACACACCCCCCCAGCCATCCCCCCACGTGGTCCCACCTCCCCACGAGAGGAGTAGGCGCAGCTTCTCAAGCTCAGCGTGGTCCGACTTGGTGGCTTCCAGCTGGGCCACCTGCTGCTTCAGGGTGGCACAGAGGTGGCTGAGCTGCCCGATCTGGCGGAGAGCCTCCACCGTTTCCGCATAGCGGTCAGGGACACTGCTGGAGCCCGAGGACACCCAGGGCATGGGAGGCTCTTCTGAAGGGGACATGGCCCTGGGATCAGCGTCAAGGGGGATCTCTAACCCCTGGGATGTCGGCAAGGTCCCCACCGCCGGGATTTTATCAGCACCAGAAAGGCTGGAGTCCATGCAGAAGGGGCTTGGCTGAACCCCTGCTCCTCCTCCTTGGGTCCCTGGAGATGTCGGCTGCACCCCTGGGATGGTGGTTTGGGTGCTGGGGGCCCCTGGCTGCACCCCTGGGGTGGTGGTTTGGGTGCTGGGGGCCCCTGGCTGCACCCCTGGGGTGGTGGTTTGGGTGCTGGGGGCCCCTGGCTGCACCCCTGGGGTGGTGGTTTGGGTGCTGGGGGCCCCTGGCTGCACCCCTGGGGTGGTGGTTTGGGTGCTGGGGGCCCCTGGCTGCACCCCTGGGGTGGTGGTTTGGGTGCTGGGGGCCCCTGGCTGCACCCCTGGGGTGGTGGTTTGGGTGCTGGGGGCCCCTGGCTGCACCCCTGGGGTGGTGGTTTGGGTGCTGGGGGCCCCTGGCTGCACCCCTGGGGTGGTGGTTTGGGTGCTGGGGGCCCCTGGCTGCACCCCTGGGGTGGTGGTTTGGGTGCTGGGGGCCCCTGGCTGCACCCCTGGGGTGGTGGTTTGGGTGCTGGGGGCCCCTGGCTGCACCCCTGGGGTGGTGGTTTGGGTGCTGGGGGCCCCTGGCTGCACCCCTGGGGTGGTGGTTTGGGTGCTGGGGGCCCCTGGCTGCACCCCTGGGGTGGTGGTTTGGGTGCTGGGGGCCCCTGGCTGCACCCCTGGGGTGGTGGTTTGGGTGCTGGGGGCCCCTGGCTGCACCCCTGGGGTGGTGGTTTGGGTGCTGGGGGCCCCTGGCTGCACCCCTGGGGTGGTGGTTTGGGTGCTGGGGGCCCCTGGCTGCACCCCTGGGGTGGTGGTTTGGGTGCTGGGGGCCCCTGGCTGCACCCCTGGGGTGGAGGTCTGGGTGTCAGGGGCCCCTGACTCTGTCCCCAGTGTGGTGGTCTTGATGCCAGGGGATTCTGTCTGTGTCCCCAGGGTGATGGCACAGGCATCAGAAGTCTTTGTCTCTTCTGAGGAAGTGTCTGCCCCCTTCTCAGGGGCCACTGGTGCTCTCTGTGTCTCCAGGGAGCCAGGCTGTGTCTGTGGAGTCCCCCTGCCGGTCCCTTTGCTGGTCCTCGGTACAGCCTGTGTCCCTGGTCCCTTCAGTCCCAGCACTGAGCTTGCCCCATGTGGCGTGTCCATGTCTGCAGTGGGAGGCTCGGCGGGGACAGCCTGACCTGCACTGCCATCCTGGGAAGAGGAGGCAAAGGGGAGCAGGTTTATGGGCAGAAGTGCAGCAGCAAGGGCCACCCGCCCTGTCCCCAAACCCCCCAGCTCATGGAGCCAAATTCATGTACCCCAAAGGCAGAGACTGCCCAGCCCACAGAGACCCTCGAGCACCCACAGCCACCCGGCCCCTCCCCAGCCTCCTTTGGCCACATCTGTGCCTGCAGAGTCATTTTAGCAGCGATCCAGAGGATCAGCAAACCCCCTGCTGATGCCACCTGACACAACAGCAAGGCATTTTTCTCTCCAGCAATGGGATTCTGTACTCCAGAGCTGCTAGACTAGACCCACTTCCCAGTCTAATGGGCTGCATCTTCATTTCAGGAGCAGCAGCCCCAGGTAGGATTTGGAAACCATCTCATGGTGGGGTTCACCCCAAAATGTCCCTCCGCTGTCCCCGGCTCCCACCCACCAGCCCCAGAGAGACTATGAGGGCAGGGAGCCGTGGTCCTGCCCAACGTTGAGCAAGGACAGGGGGCTGTGCGGCCACTCCAAGGGTTTCGGGTACTCGCTTGCCCCACAGAGGGGCTGTTGGGGGCTGTCAGTGGCATAGACGATGAGGAGGTCTCTGTTGGGGCAGCCGAAGAGCTGCCCTGGCTCTGCCAGTGCCAGGTCCTGCCTCCCGGCAGGATGCACAAGGAAGAGAAGTGCTGAGTAAACCTCCGCTGAGGTCCCGGGGCGTGCAGCAGCTGGAGGCGCTGGGGGCTGCGGTCCTGCTCAGTCCTGCTCCCACAGCTGGGATGCCCCAGCACTCACCAACGACAGACCTCGACCTTCTTCTTCTTCTTCTCCTCCTCCTTCTCCTTCTCCTGCTTTGCTGCCCACCAGGCAATCCTCCAGCACCTCCCAGCGCACCATGTTGCTCACCTCCTCCGGGGCCGGGTAGAGGCTCAGTCTTTCCTTCAGCTTTTGCTGGGGAAAAAAGGGATCAGAGGGTCAACCCTGGCCACGTAGCCAGGTGGGGTGGGACCCACAGGAGCACTGACCCCCCCCCAGCATCACTGCCCAGCCCTGCTGGGCCCATGACCTGACACGGAGGGACTGCGTGCACTGGTGCCTTGGGGATGCAACTGCCTCCATCCTGGAGCAGGAGCCAGGTGTGCGTGGGGCCGTACCACGTCACTGTCCAACGCTGTCTGGTCACGGAGGGCCAGCAGTTGGCCGGCAGCATCCTGGAGATTCCCCTGGAGTGGGACAAGGAGAGGGATGGCAGCTCGGACACAGGAGCAGGATTTAAAAGGAGCATCCAGGAATCAACTTGGGCACAGGACAGAGGGATGCCAGGCAGGGCTGTGGCTGTGTTGCATCAGTAGATCTTTATCTCCACTTCTTCTCAGCACCCATGTTTCTTTTTTTACAGCTGTTAAAAAATGTCTTAGCATCACTTTGGTTGATGCATGCAGTCACCTCTTCAGCCTTGGGACACCCTTCTTGCTCTTCCCTCCTGGCAGCCTTGACACCCAGGGCCGCGGGGCAGGGGCAGCAGGGTGACACAGGGGCAGGGAGGGGGGTGAGGGCCCAGCTGCCTCCCGGGGACAGTGGCAGCAGCTCACCATGCCAAGCGTCTCCTGGATCGTCCGGACGTCCTCTTCAATGCGGGACTGCGCCGCCTTCATCCTCCCGATCTCCTCGAGGAGATCCTGGGAAAGAGCTATGTCCTGAGAGAGGGGGGTGGCAGGGGTGAGTCCTGGGGGCACTGCGGGCAGCACTTGCCATTCATCAAGCCTTCAGCAGCCAAGAAAGGGCAGCAGCTCCCCAGAGACCCCCCCACCCCTGCCCCAGGGGGGCCCACTGTACAGCCCGAGTCAGCAGGGATGGATCCAGCCCCACCTGTCCACGTCGTCCTGTGGGTCAGGAGTAGGGAAGGAAGGGATGGATAGCGGTGGGGCAGGACCTCCACAGGTGCTGAGCCTCTGACTGGTGGAGCTGAGGGCACTGGGTGCTGTATTGGACCAACGACTTGCTGATGGAAACTTGGGGAGAACCCAGAGCAACTGGAGCAACACTTCAGCCCCAGCTCTTTCTCCCCAAAACTCCATCCCTTTCCCACAGTGAGGTTCCACACACCAGCTCGTGCTTAGGCTTAAACCAGACCTAAGGGCAGACAATGGTGGTGCAGACCCCAGAGGAGGGGGTGTCTCGGGGGGGCACCCAGGGAACTGCGAGTAGCCTCTACCTTGGAGACGCTGCTCTTGTTCTCTTCAATCTTTCTTTTCATTTGTCCCATGTCGGCAGCCATGGAGGCATCATGCGGGGTGCTCACGGTCCCCTGCAGCGGGTCCTTCGAGGGGGTCAGCAGCTCCGTGCCTGGGCCTCTGCCCTGTGCCCCTTCTTCTCTGAGGGGTGCCTTGGGGGGCTGGTCGTGCCCCGGGGCAGGCAGGTCCTGCACGCCCAGGTGCCCCAGCACAGCCTGCAGCAGGCTGTACAGCGCCCTGAAGTTGACGGCCCCGATCTCGGGCGTCCCGATAGCGACGTCCAGCAGCTGGGACAGGCTGAGCGGGGCCATGGCTGCTGCCCTGCCCAAAAACACGAAGCCTGACCTAGGCGGGGACACACAGCACTCCTTTTGCCTGGAGGGCACCTGGGCAGGTGGGAGGGATGGGCAGCCGGCAGCCGCCCTCCTCCTCCTCACCACAGAAAGTGCGCGAAGCAGCGGGTGACCCGGTGACCCCCCGAGGGCAGGGCTGTCTGGGGGAGAGGGAGGGTGTCTCCTTCCCCGGCCACCCTCAGCCCCCCGAGCCCCTCCAACCTCTCCTCCTCCGGCTGTGCCGTCACACTGCACTCCCCTAGCCCCGCCCCTCCCCTTTTCTTATTGGCCAGCGGCCGCCGCTGCCCACCGCCCATTGGCCGAGCCCGCTGCCCACGTGCCCGTGTTTACAGGGCAGGGCACAACAGAGCCTCCCGTTGCTAGGCGACGTTGCTAGGCGACGCGGCGGCCCCCGGCGGCGGGCAGGGCCCAGGCTCCCCACTGCCTTCTCCGCGGCAATGACCCAAAATGCAAACGATGACGGCTAATTGTGACGCAGCTCCCTGCAGCCCGTGGCTGCGCCATGCACAGAGACCGTCCTGCCCGTCCGGCACCCTGCTCCCCCCTCAAAATCTCCCAGACAAGCCCAGTCCCGGCAAGGAAGCACCTCCATTTATTTCTTGGGTATCAGAAGCATGACAGATTTTACCCTCTCCCTCAGACGTGGGAATGGTGGAAGGTTGCTGCTGATTGCATCAACACACGGACTTCTCGCACCTTGCAGCAAAGCAAAGAGCCGTGTAAGCAGGGAAAAAAGAAACGCAGCTAAACACAGGCATCCAGACAGCCCCAAGAAGTGTTCAAACACTGGGAAAAAATCTTCGAGCCCGAGTGATCCATCGAAGTACTTACAAAAAAAAATCAAGAATTTCTTTTCCCTTAGAAACCTCCGGCTCAGACCATCACAGGGTCAGAGCACCCCCTTGGCTGAGGCACTCAAAGACCATTTCCAAGAAAGGATTGTAATAAAACCTCTGCTTGGCCACGGGCTGGCCCAAGAGCACCAGTGCTGGCACCAGGTTAGCCTTGTTAGTAGAAGAGGCTAATAAAATCACATTTGGGGGAGATCTGAAAGTGTTAACCCCCCATAACATCAGAGGAGTGCTTCAACAGAAAGCAGATAAATGGATAACAGACGCAAGACTCCTCAAATATGAAGGAATATTAATACACTCACCAAAGTTAGAGATCGAAGTAACTAGCCTTCAAAATCCAGCACAATTCCTGTATGGGGAACCAAGTGAAAGTTTAAACCATAATTGCCTCCATCGAGGAACAGACAAAAATCAGGCCAGACTTAGAAGAAACAGAATTAGAAGAAGGGGAAAAGCTTTTTGTAGCTGGATCCTCTAAAGTGGTAGAAGGAAAGAGAAAATCAGGTTATGCAATTATTGGTGGAGTCACCCTAGAAGTAATAGAGTCAGGACCACTGAGTCCTAGTTGGTCAGCTCAAGCTTGTGAATTATATGCGGTACTAAGGGCATTACAGATTTTAAAAGGAAAAGAAGGGACAATTTATACGGACTCTAAATATGCCTTTGGGATAATTCACACTTATGGGGAAATTTGGGAAGAAAGGAGACTCATTAATTCGCAAGGAAAAGGGTTAATACACGAGTCTCTAATTATCCAGACTCTTCAAGCATTAAGAGGCCCTAAAAGAATAGCAGTAGTGCATATAAGGGGACACCAACAGGACACCTCACTACAGATCAGAGGAAATATTCTGGCTGATCAAGAGGCAAAACGGGCTGCACTACTGGTGCTGACTGTAACAGAATCGAACACAAACGAACGAACAGAACCTGCTAAATTGGGGTTCACATTCACTAGTCAGGAGAAAGAAAAGTTAGAACAAATGGGAATCAATGAAAAACAAGGGAAATGGAATTGCCTGCTGGGAGGAAGGTTCTCCCAAAGGCAGTGGCTTGGAGAGTTATGAAGGACCTCCATACTAAAACTCACTGGGGAGTACAAGCATTAGTAGATCAGTTTGCTATTAAATACATGTGCATAGGAGTTTAGAATGTTGCTAAGGGAATAGTAAAAGGTTGTTTAACATGCCAGAAGATTAATAAGCATCAGTTAAGAGAAAGGGTTCAAGGTGGAAGGGATTTAGCTTACAGACCATTCGCAAGAATTCAAATTGATTTTATGGAACTACCAAAAGTAGGACGGTACAGATACCTCCTAGTATTGGTAGATCATCTCACATATTACGTAGAAGCCTTTCCCACTGCTCGAGCAACAGCAAACACGGTGGTGAAAATACTCTTAGAAAACATCATCCCTAGGTATGGAAATATAGAAGTAGTCGATTCCGACAGAGGCCCCCATTTTGTATCTAAAGTAGTTAAAGAGACATTAACTTCCCTAGGGATCAAGTGGGAATTTCACACTCCTTGACATCCACAAAGCTCAGGGAAAGTAGAAAGAGTGAATGGGGAAATCAAGAAACAACTTACCAAATTAATGTTCGAAACAAAAATGTCTTGGGTTAAGTGCTTACCCCTAGCGCTTCTGAATATTCGAACCCAGCCGCGAACCGATACTGGCATATCCCCATTTGAAATGCTGTATGGTATGCCCTATGATATGGAACTTCCCACTGATCACCCGATACTGGAAAAAGACAATTTACAACCATATTGAATAAGCCTCATGAATAGAAGAGAGAACTACGCAAAAAGGGGATGGTAGTACAAAGACCACCTTTAGAGATTTTTATGAACTCTATAAGACCTGGAGACAAGGTGTTAATAAAAACTTGGAAAGAATCTTCTCTTAGCCCTCGTTGGGAGGGACCGTTTCTTGTTTTGCTCACAACAGAGACTGATGTGCGGACTGCTGAAAAAGGATGGACTCATGCTACCAGAGTAAAAGGACCCTTAACACCCGATTGCTGGGAAGTAGCTAAAACATCAGGAGATCTGAAGCTAGTGCTGCGAAGAGAGAAGGACTGAATGAGTGATGTAATATTTTGTAAAACCCCTAACTGTATTTGTTATTCTTTGTATGTTTTAAATGCACCTTTTGTGAAGAGAATTGGTGGACGTACTGCGTTTACGGTTATTCCCCAAAAGGAATACTGTGGCCAGTGCTATATAAGGGAAAATTAATTAGTTAAGCCTTACTAGTGGGGGTATTGACGGGAAGAATTATAAGTTCCTTGCAGGTCCCAGAATACTCCAAGTGCCTTGTACAATCCCACAAGTAAAAAGCCCGGAACTGGGAGGCGTTTAGGTGTCGATAGCGAGACCCTAACCTCAAAGAATGCGACTGCTGCCGGGAAGATGGAAAGCCCCGCTGCTCTAAGGAGTGGAGCAGGCGGAGGAGGCAGAGCCGTATGGAGAGGGAAAAATAAGAAAAGCCCCAAAGCAACCAGTCCAGGTAATTGTGGTGGCAAGTGAAACTGGAAAATATGGAGAAGGAGAAGATCTGGGCGTGTAAATCCTGTTGCAAGACAAAGAAGGGACATGTTTATGCAATTGGCTCGTAATTGGAAAATGAACCCACCTATTTTCCTCACTATAATAATTATTTGGGCTGTGGGAGGAATCATAACCCCAACCCACACCCAGACCTTAACCCACCAACCATTTAAATGGACCCTTATTAGATGGAAGGATCAAAAAGTGCTTCAGTCTGTAATTACTGCAGGAGCCCCTAGTTTTGAACAGCATATTTGTTCAATTTTACCATTTCCTGGCTGTTCTCTACCTAAAAGATCCCCAACATGGGACATTAAACAATACTACTTCTGTCCCAGTTCCAATCCTGGAAAAAGTGATTGTAGTCTGCCTGGCTATAACTATTGTGCATATTGGGGTTGTGAAACAATAGCATCAGACTGGACTCCAAAACCCCCAGATAAACCTCGTGGTCCTAAGGGATGTAAGGCCCCAGTTAGAAATTGGGCTGGAGGAGTCCTCAACCATGGAACTTGTAAGCGTATAATCTTAACTGTGCTTAGTCCTCAAGATTCAGGGTGGATGATAGGAAAAACCTGGGGAATAATGTTGTGGGAAGAAGGAAAAGACAGAGGAGGACTGATTTTTATTAAAAAAGAAATAGCACCTTTGGATGTGGAACCAATAGTTCCAAATCCAATAATTGTGAACAAAGGACCGCTGTCGGAAAGGGCAGTGGATACTACCTCAATTAGTAGTAGCACAGGGGGAGTGCCAGAGCACTCTCAAGAAATCGAGGCAGCTACAGTTCCTCTTTGGAAATTATTAATGGCAAGTTATCAATTTCTAAATGCCACGAATTCAAACTTGACTGAGCATTGTTGGTTGTGTTTAGATGTTAAGCCTCCATTTTACGAAGCTGTAGGGGTAACATCCAGTCCTAAGTACGTGAAGGGGTCTAATCCAACCCAGTGCAAATGGAACAGGAAAGATGGACAGCAGCAGGGAATATCTATATCACAAGTGTCAGGACAAGGGTCGTGTTTAGGAACCATACCACCGCAGAAAAAACATTTATGCAAAGAAATAATTAACCTTGAAAGGGAACATTTTGCAGATTGGTTATTACCAGATAAAAATGCCAAGTGGATTTGCTCAAAATTGGGCTTAACACCTTGTCTTTCATTAAAGGTATTTAGTAAGAATGAAGAATACTGTATACAAGTAGCAGTGGTCCCTAAAATCATATATATCATCCAGAAGATTATATGTGTAATTATCAAACTGTGCAAGAACACCATTTACAAAAAAGAGAACCCATCACTGCACTAACGGTAGCAACTCTTATGGCTACTGGAGCCGCCGGAGCTGGAACTGGGATAGCATCCCTGGTACAGCAAAACCAAAAGTTCCAATTTTTGAGGGCTGCAGTAGATGAGGATCTCTTAAAAACTGAACAGTCTATCAGTGCCTTAGAAACCTCTTTAAGATCTTTGTCAGAAGTTGTTTTACAGAACAGGAGAGGACTGGACCTAATGTGTTTGCAACAGGGAGGGTTGTGTGCAGTTCTAAAAGAAGAATGCTGCGTACGTGCAGACCACACTGGAGTGGTAAGAGATACAACGACCAAATTGAGAGAAAGTCTGGAAAAACGTAAAAAAGAAAGGGAGCTGCAACAAAATTGGCTTGAAACACGGTTCAGTAAATCTCCCTGGCTTACTACCATATTATCTACTATAGCAGGACCCTTAGTGTTATTAATAATTGGGTTAACCTCCGGGCCATGTATAT